CATTCTCCCCCAACTACTTTTCCGTCTATTCAACCATGCAAGAGGACTTGCCACTTTCACAACACACGCCGGCGCTCATGACACATCTCGACCCGATGGGATGGGAGACCGCCGCCACGTCAACCGATATGTTAAATATGTCACACCCAGCCTCTGACAACTGGAACCTGGACATGCTATCAATGGGCACCAATATCCCCCCACCAGAGACAACATGCCCAAGCTACGTCAGCGTCCCTTCCCCGGGTGAACTGAGTGGCCCATCAACACCAGACTTTCTCCCCATTCAACAATTCGAGGATCCATTCCAGCTTACCGCCGAGCCTAAGAAGACCGGAAAGGGTGAAGAAGAACTCGTCGGCATGGGCCTCTACAGTCAGCCTAATGGAACACTGGCACGTGCCCCGCAGAGCAAATCGGGCGAGGGCCTGAAACTCGAAGAGACATTCACTCCATCCGACGAAGACAAGGACGACGAGACTGACGAGGTGGAAATCATTGGACAACGTGAAGTTCCTCAACAACAAACCTACCATGAATCCGCGCCTACCATTCGCCAGTCGAATTTCACTTCTAAGCAGCAGCCCAGACAAGCTCTGAACTTGCTCCAGCGGTCTTTCTTCTTCGACCACGACGATACGGAACAGCAGCAGATGGCTGCTGCACAGCCTTTTACTGGTTTCAACCAGCCCTGCATGAACTATGGATATGGGTGGATCTGAGGGGATCGCCTAACGGATTTTTTTTTTTCTTTTGCATTTCTTACTTACCAGCGGCATTGCGCGGAGTTTTTTTATTATTTTTATTTTCTCGGAGTCGGATACACGGAAAGGATACCCTGGGACGAGACGGCTCGCGACTCGCGACTCGCATCTAGCTACATTTACTTTAGGTGTACTCTCGTACACGATCTGATACACAATCTATCTCAATATTTGCTACCTATCATTATTTCCATTTCTAGTTGTTAAAAACCACAGTGGTAAATCATTTTGTCGCATTCCAAATTCTCGATATACAAACTCGCCCTTTGGTTGGCTGCGGAGAAATTAAGCTTCGGCAAAACCTTCCCAAAGGAACAACAATTCCCCGAAAATATTTCGCAGGCTATCAACGAAAAGTCAAGCAAGCAAAAGGTCACTCATCCGGCGTCGAATTTAATTTCTAATTTCTCATTTCAAACTCAGCGTCGAGAATGGCAAAGGTCATTTTCACGGCTTGGAAAACCAAGTCTCAGTTGCTAGAAGTGCGGGACGAGTTTTATCCTCCGTCTGCGTACACTGGACCCGACTTGCGTTCCCATGGCTGTGCAGTGGTATGTTACATATGCATGGGCAGAATAAATATGGTGGCTAGCTGTGTATGTGGTTTGCTAACGGTGTCCGAAACTAAAGGTCGAAGCCTGGAAACTACGTGGCAATGTACCGCACCATGTTGAAGCTACGGCGTTGTTGACAGATGCCATTCTCCATGATGACGCGCAGAGGAATTCCATCTTCTCAATTCGTGCTACATATTCCGCAGCTTTCTGTCGGTGAGTGTTGAACCTACCTGATTCTCGTTTTTTAAATTTATTTGAGAGACACCTACCTCACTCTAAATCCCTTGAGAGAGATTGATGTCTCAAATTCAAACTCCCCATCTCACAAAACACATCCCATTTTCAAACTAACGCCAATTTAGCTTTGTAACTGGTCTTGTGGACACCAAGATCCACGGTGTTCGCCGAACAATGTTCCAGCGCGCCACAGACCTAGGTCTCCCAGCCTCCTTCGTGGAACTCCGCCACGAAGCAACCCACCGCGAGCCGCCGTCGCTTGTCGTACTGCGCAAAGCTGCACAGCGCTCGCTCGAGTGGCTGTGGGACAATTACTGGGCCGGTGTTGCTGATGACTGTGCGTCTGCGTTGACCAATGATGACAGTGCGTCTGTCAGGGCCGCCTTGTGCGACGCTCTGCGACTTCTATCCGGTGGATCGATGGATCCTGTGCCCAAGAAGCGGAAGCGGGATCAGGCTATTTCGGTCGCTATGCGGCTTGTCTCAGTTTGTAATGTTTCGGCGACTGGGGTTAGACTTTTGTCTTCTGTTTTGCTCGAGCAGGGATTCTTGGTGCCTAATGGGCGGGAGTGAGTCCCCCCACTCCACTTCTTTTTGCGTTTGTCTCGGCTGTGTCGTCAGGGGCACAGCTGTTGTCGGGGAGTACATGCTGACTGTGACATTTTTCTACTTAGCCTTGGGGATTCGCTGAATGATACATTCAAGGAATGGAACCCGGTGCTGCAAAAGGTTGCAGAGAGTCATCCTGCGTTCTTGAGGCATTTGACCGAAGATCTGGTGAATGATCTGGCTTTTAAGAATACAACCGATATATCGGCAGATGCGTCTTCCGAGGCATTGTATCTGTGGATCGCGCATATCTTGACATCTCCTGCCTGGGAGTTCCACAGGCAATCATGTCCACAGAGCTATGTTCTTCGAGCTTGCGATGAAAGTCCACACCACTGGACCAAGATATTGGGAGATCAGTTAAGGAAGCACGCGAGTAAACCCAAATCAGCTCTTGCGGCTCGACCTGCTGCGAAGAACCGAGTCTCGAAACCCAAACACGTTAGAAATGACTCGCAATACGCTCCAACTCAGCTCTCGGATAAGCTGCTGGAACATGGATGGGGATTCTTGGAGAAATGGGACAGTAGGCCACTGGGCGTGGTATCAAGTAATTAGACGGGCTTATTTGCAATTCCAAAAATGCACACGCTGCTGGCAGCGTTGGAGAACCCCAGGCCAATATCTCCCATACAATATTCAGCTGTGTAGTGCAACCAATCAAAAGCAATGGCATTACTAAAAGCCGTCAAGCTAAAGGGAGAATAGTTTTTCCGGATGACGTTTGTAATCCGACAGATCCACCTGAGCAGATGTACCTCTTCCAATAGCTCCCCGCACTGTTTGGATTCTTCGTTGGTGATGAACTTTCTAAGGACACAATTATCCGGAACTAGCTCGCGTCTATTCAAGTCACAAGTCAGAGCCATGCATATCCAATCAATTCCTATGTGTATGTTGATCTTCCGGTCCCGTCATATAGATTACCAATCAACAACGGCTGGAACTTTGGGATACGATACTGCGGGAGGAATATTTGCTTATTCTAGGTCAATTCTACAGGGACGGGGAAGGGCAACAACTATGCTTATCTCGTGACGGATGAATCGACCAAGAAGTCGGTTATTATTGATCCGGCCAATCCTCCGGAGTGAGTTGAATATTTAGATCGGGTTGAATCTACTTAATGAGCTGGAACTGATTCTATGGAATTGCAGGGTTGCGCCGGAGCTCAAGTCTCAGATTGCTTCTGGCAAGATTGACCTGACGGCCATAGTTAACACACACCAGTATGTGGACTGAACTCTCACAAGCTGGTAAAAAGAGCACAAAAAGTCCAGGTTTACTGACATTTGCTGAAGCCACTGGGATCATGCTGGCGGTAATAATGACATTGTATGCATGCTTTCTCGGAATATTGGGTGTTACCCCGAACTAAAATTTTGCACCAGTTGAAACAATTCAAGGGTCTTCAGGTCATTGGTGGTAAGGACTGCGCATCTGTCACCAAGACTCCGGCGCATGGCGAAGAGTTCAAGATCGGAGATCGTATCTCGGTGAAGGCATTGCATACTCCCTGCCATACCCAGGACAGCGTCTGCTACTATATGCAAGATGGAGACCAGCGTGTTGTCTTCACGGGCGATACTCTCTTTATTGGCGGTATGTGTAACATCTCCAACCCTTCTATCACCACGTCCATGTAGTGCCGTGGTCTAATTTTGAAATCAGGATGTGGCCGATTCTTCGAAGGAAATGCGAAGGAGATGCACAAGGCCTTGAACGAGACCCTCGCGGCTCTGCCCGATGACACCAAGGTTTATGTATGGTTATCTTTTCGTATTGGTATAGGGCTTATGCTGACTCCTTCTAGCCCGGCCACGAGTATACCAAGGCCAATGTCAAGTTTTGCATTGCAGTGTCGCAGTCAGAGCCCATCAAGAAGCTCCAGGCATTTGCGGAGAAGAACAAGGAGACACAAGGGAAATTCACCATCGGCGACGAGAAGGTAAGAGCTGGACTTAGGCGATATCTCCAGTCGGGACTGACAAATATTTAGCTCCACAATGTGTTCATGCGCGTCAATGTAAGTTTCTTGTCCCTTGACCTTGTATCTGCCGTTGCTGATTTAGAACACACAGGAACCCGAGATCCAAAAGGTAACTGGCAAAACTGACCCTGTGGATGTGATGGCAGCATTGAGAGAGATGAAGAATGCGATGTAAATTATGGGAGTCAAGTTAGCGAGCAAATCTACTATATCACCTGTTGCGATACATATATATCTGTGGAATGCGTGTTTTCGTAAGAACGAAGTAGTTAACTACCCCAAGGCTAGACCGAACTGGTAAGATAGGAAACTGTGTAGAACCCATATAAGCAAGATCTCCCACAAATGAAGTCATTGAAAAGGTCCATCCTGGAAATCGACCTTGTTTTCTTGGAGTTGCTCTTCCCAATGACCTCGGGAGTGGACGTGTACGTCATATCCAATGCCAAGCCCACTGTTCTTCAGAAACATGGAAATTAAGTATCTTTTGTATGGGAAAGACATACAAAAGATACTTATGCGCAATATAGACATAACAAGAATTTTCTTGTCCAAAAAGTAGTCGAGGAAGATTTAGATGTATACACCTGGGCAGTGTAGATGAATGAGGTTATGTGTATGTATCTTTCATATGTGAAAGCCATACAAAATATACCTCTTTTTGTTTGCGGCGGCCAAGCAACGGTGTGGTGGGGCACAGCTACCCACTTTCTTTCATGTCCACCAACTCCCCGGAGCTTGGACAACTCAACCATGACAGAGTGACAGAGTGACAGAGTGACAGAGTGACAGAGTGACAGAGTGACAGAGTGACCAACAGGGAAAGTCCAGTACTTTTGCGCGATGAATAAGGCAGTTAAGGATGATGTAGGTGCTAATAGACTCCAGGACTGCCCAGGTGGACTTCGGGGGTTATTGCAGTGACTGACCAATGCCATCATAGAACAATGGAGGGGCGAGCGATACGGAGGCTCAGAATCACCTGGAGGTAAGCAGTTTGATGATTTCATGACAGTTCCATACTAAGTGAATGTCGCTACCCAGGTCGTGTTCTATCCCGACTCGAACCACCGTCGCAAGTCTTCCCTTGCTACGATGGACAAGCCGAGGGTCCAGCCTCACCCAGCTCAGGATGACACGGCGACCGCCTGCTACGTCCACAACCTCATTGCGAGCGAGTGGACTTCACCCCAAAAACACCTTAAAGATACAGAAGACAGAGACGATATGATACGGATATTGAGAGAGGACGAGGATCAACCCGTGACAAATAACAAAGGTATCGAGCCAGAGCTGGTCTCAGTGGTCGACCGTGACGACACACCGCTACCCACAATCATTGAATCCCGGCATCTCACAAAGAGACAGCTATCAGATATGGCTTGGAACGTGCGGAAGCTATCCAAGAAGTTGGGCACCATCAAGCTCAAGCTCACCGTGAAGAATATCTTCATAGTAAGCAAGGCGCAGGACCAGTCGCTGGTAAGCCTGACTCGAAAGGTTACGAGGTGGCTACTATCCGCGGACCGGGACTCTTTATACATAGTATACGTCGAACGGCGGCTCGAGACGCATCCGGACTTCGGTGCGTTACAATTAGTACAAGACGAGCCCTCCGCCGAGGGCCGGCTCAAGTACTGGGATCCCAAGCTTGCCCAAGAACAACCGCATTTGTTTGACTTTGTGATCACGCTCGGCGGAGATGGAACCGTTCTTTACACGAGCTGGCTGTTCCAGCGCATCGTGCCGCCCGTACTTTCTTTTGCGCTGGGCTCATTGGGCTTCTTGACCAATTTCGACTTTGCGGATTATCAGAAGAGCCTCGATAATGCTTTCCGGGATGGTGTTTTTGTCAGCCTACGGCTACGGTTCGAATGTACCATCATGCGCAGCAAAGCGCGGATAAGAGACCCGCATGCGCGTTCTCTACCAGACCGTGACCTGGTAGAGGAACTAATCGGAGAGGAAGGGGAGGACACATTGACGCATACCCCAGATAACGTGTATGAGATCCTCAACGACGTAGTCCTCGACCGGGGGCCAAACCCAAGTATGACTTCCGATTTTTGACTCCCCCCAGTGTTATGTGTCAGGTTTCACGATAGAAACAGACAAACAGCTAACCAATCCTCGATAGCCATGTCTCAAATTGAACTCTTCGGGGACGACGAGCACTTCACCACCTTGCTCGCTGACGGAATATGCATCGCTACTCCAACTGGATCGACTGCTTACAACCTCGCCGCTGGCGGCTCTCTTTCGCACCCGGAAAACCCCGTTATACTTGTCACCGCCATCTGCGCCCACACGCTGTCCTTCCGACCGATTATTCTACCAGACACCATTGTCTTGCGCATGGGTGTGCCATACGATGCGCGCACGAGCTCATGGGCTAGCTTTGATGGACGCGAAAGGTGAGTTTATTATATTTGTTGCATCTGCCGTGTCACTATTGGTTTGGTGCTTGGATTTGTTGTCTGACTGACAAACCCCAGAATCGAGTTACATCCCGGTGACTACGTTACTGTGTCAGCTTCGAGATATCCTTTTGCCAATGTCTTGCCTCCCGGTGGACAGGGCGAGGGTTGGGTGCATAGCATCTCTAAGACTTTGAATTGGAATTCGCGACAAAAGCAGAAGAGCTTCAAGTAGCTGAAGTGGAGAAAATGCTTCTTCAGCATGGCCTTTAGCTCTTTCTGTCTGTTTTTCTTCCTCTTTTATGAGCATATTTGGTGTCTATTTGATTTTGATTTGGTTACTTGGGTTATATAGCCACTGGTTGGTTCATTTCTGGGCGTATATGGTTTGTTGTAGTTAAAATAAAAACAAAAACACTTTGATTATTTCAACTAACAACTACTCCGTAATTAATTAGCTTATAATTCCCAGCCATTTGTTTTTTCTTTCGGGGATTTTTCCCAAGTGGACACTCTTTTTTTTTTTTCGCTTGAAGCTGCGGCTCCGCTCGACCCTATAAAAGGCCATCGCCCAGCCCGAAAATTCTTCTTCTTCATCTTCCTCAACCAACTCGGTTTCAAGGTCTTAATATTGACTTTGGAACCCCGTTGAGCCCGACATCTTCATAAAGAGTATATGTGAATAAAATCACATATACTCTTCCCAACTGACTTGGTGAGTTTTTGCAACTTTCTCTTTTCTTGCCTTGCATTCCCCCCAGCCAACGGCCTCGCGCCGTTCGATGATGAAAATCTTCCTACATTCGCAGTTTCCACGCTAGCCGTCGCTTGAACCCAATCAAGGCGGCATTGAGCGGAATATCTTCCTTGGATGTCTGAGAAATATTTGGCTGTTTCTTTTTATGAATTCTTTTCATGTTTTTGCAGTCGAGACGGTTGCTAATTGTCTCTCAGAATTAGGATCTCTTTTGATACACATTCGATCTTCGATATCATACGGAATATATATCATCGCTTTGCAGTGTCTACTGTCTGGCTCTATAGCTAGTTAAGTTGATGGTTGCTGCTTTGCTCCACTGGCCGGGCTCGACAGGATATCTGGACTCGTGTGTCGGGAGTGGAAGTGCAGCAGTTGGAAACTCTAGTATATCAATCAGTATCAAATGAATGACAGTTTTGTCTCCAAACCTCTTCCAATCAGATCTTGTAGTATTCTATAAAACATAGTCCATCTCTCGTATTTTCTCGTTTCTCAGCCCAAAAATAAATCTCGCAGGACTGCACCCGAGGGAGTTGTGCTCCGCCGTACCGCAATCCACCACCCCATAGCCAACGCCAGTCAACACAACTCCCATAGATATATCTCAACTTGACTAGATCCTCAAGCTCCCAAGTCAACATTTGCTGGTTCTGAGTCAAATTACAATACAACGCCATTCCAATGGCGGCACCACCTCGACATGCCACGATGCAATCCATCAGCAATGGCAGCACAGCACAAGGGACCGACAGACCACAGACACAGCAGACACAGCAAGCCCAGCTATCACAACAATCCCCTGGGCTACGTGTACCTTCCAATCGCAAGACCATCTACGACCGACACCTGAACCGAAGTCGTAATGCAGAACTCAGCCGGGCGAGCTTCGCCTTTTTATTTGGGGAGATGGTCACATATGCTCAACGACGAGTAACAGGTATCCAAGATCTGGAGAAACGGTAAGAGACAACCCCTGATTCAAACCCGGAACCCTCTCCCTCTCCAGCTCTCTCAGAAAACTGTCATCACCATGTCCCTGCCCAACAACCCGTAACTAACAACCCCTCCATCCAGGTTAAACGAACAGGGCTACCCCCTCGGCCTCCGCCTCCTCGACCTCCTCTTCTACCGCTCAACCTCAACCTCCTCCTCCGCCCTCTCAAGTTCCTCCACCTCCTCTTCACCCCCAAACCGACCCCTCCGCATTATAACCCTGCTGCACCTGATCCACGGCCCCCTCTGGCGCCTTCTCTTCAACCGCGCCGCAGATGCCCTCGAGCACTCCGTGTCCCCGGACACACCCAACGAATACATGATCACCGATAACGACCCAATGGTCAACACATATATCAGTGCGCCCCGCGATATGAGCATGCTCAACTGCGCTGCCTATGTTGCCGGCATCATCGAGGGTGTCTGTGATGGGTGTGGCTTTGAAACGAAGGTCTCAGCGCATAATCAGCCTACGGAACTCTGGCCTAGTCGAACAGTGTTCCTGGTTCGTTTTGGGGATCCGGTTATGGAGAGGGAGAAGGTGCTTGAGAGGGCGGGTGTTAAATAATGAATGAGCTTGCTTTCGGGCTGTTTGGCAGGCTGCAGGCTGATCGATATGTGCGTGTTAGCGTGGTAGATCTACGGCGTTTGAGATGTGATAGGGTGGTTATGAAGCTCTTATTTCGCGGCTCTTTGGTTCTTTGGTTCCGGCACCGACATTCCCTTCACGAAGTCATGCAAGTACAACTCTGGACGCTCGATATGAGGAACTTGTTAGCAGTTCTTGGAATCTGCTCGTGGATCTGTACAAAAAAGTCCTTGATTGTCGCCCAGCAGATATCATACAATGCAATTCCTCCAGGAGAGGATATGCTATATTACGTACACGTACATACAGAAGAGTATTGGCACATTGGTTGCTCGGAATTCAGATATCAAGAAGCAGATCCCACCATGCACCTTTTGATAGACTGGCGCCCCAGCGCCAACAAAAAAGTAGGATATCAACAGCGCCCGCTTGACCACTGAACCGAATCACGAACTGTCCACCCGCCGACGTTTCTCGCGATCATCATAAGGCGACGGGCTGCGCTTCCGCCTCTCCCTAGACCGACTCCTCTCAACCCGACCAGAATCTCTATCATCACGTCTGTCCCGTCGAGGTGAATGCGACCTCGACCTGCGCCGAGGTCTAACAACACTAGCATTCGCACCCGTCGGTCCACGATCCCCATCATCACCACCCCGACGATCAGGCATAAACCTCTCATCCGTAACACCCTGAGGCGGCCCATCCCTCCTCCTCCTGTTCTCCAACCCATCCCCAAACCGCCCCGTATCCTCAGACTTAAGATCCCTGTAACGCGTACGACCCTTCTTCCCAAGCTTCGTCATATCCCGAACCTGCATGTACTGCGGCAACGTATCACGATTGACATCGTCCTCGAAACGCGCACCCATAAGCGCGCGCCGATCAAGACCCTCAGCTTCAAGATCACCGCGGAAGAAAGCACCCTTATGATAATACTTCTGCATAAAGCCCGTCTGACCACGCGTAGCATCGCGGTCTTCCTTCTGCTGCGCAATGAACTCGCTATCTTCGCGCTCCCGCTCCTCAGCCGTAAGGTTTCGCCGACGCTCGACCTCTTCGATCTCTTTCTCGTGGGCTTCGATGGCTTCGCGGGATCGTTGAACGCGTTTCAGTTCACGTAGTTTCCATGCTGCATACTCGGCTTCGGGGTCTAGACCGTCTGTGTCGTCGATGGCTTCTTCGTCTTCGGCTTCGACGACCTCGTCGTCGTCCCACGCGCGATTCGCTGTTGACCGTGCTATCGCTTCTTTCTCTAGTTGGTCGCGGACTAATTGGTCGGCTTTTTCTTGGCGTTGCGCCGCGCGTTGGGCTTCGGCTTCGGCGGCTCGAGCGGCGTCCGATTCTGCTTGTGTTTGGCCTGCTGCTGAGCCTGCGGTGCTCCGCTTGTCTTTTTTGATGAATGTTGGTCGGATGAGCATGCGGCGGGGTGCTTCGTCTTCGGAACTGCTCTCTTCTTCGGAGCTTTCTTCCTCTTCCTCCTCCTCCTCTTCTTCCTCTTCTTCTTCGTCGCTCTCGGCAGCAGTTGTGGACACAGTAGGTTTTAAATCGTTGGTAGGATGCGGTACTGCTTTCGGCGCGGGTGCGGGCTTGTCACCTTCGTCGTCGTCGGTGACGAACCCTTCCTCGTCATCCTCCTCAACCTTTTGACCTGCTACAGCAGGGGCTGGTAATGAGGCTTTGGGCGCTTTTGCTCGGCGCAGTGCCTCGGCTCGTCTGCGTCGTTCTTGCTCTCGTCGCGCCTCCCGTTCTTCGTTGTCATCATCTTCTTCTTCCTCTTCTTCAGATGAGGGTTCCTCTGCGATAGGCTTTCCAGGGCGGTAGCGAGCAGGTCTGACGGGGTTTTTGGTCATTCCCCGGTGGGAAGAGGGGAACGGAGGAGGCATTGTGGTCGGATATGATGTGTGTAGAAGGAGGGTGGGTGTCGGTTATGTAGAGAGATATAGAGCTTCGTTGTTTAGCTTGTAGTTCAATGCCAGAAAAATCGCGCCAGGTCAGCTCTGTAGTATGGTGTGGTGAGGACTCGTTGAATTGACGTATCGGGCTGAAGCTTTTGCTGGAGATTGATATGCGATCACGTGATGATATCACAAAGCGCAGGAGGGCAGAAGTGGTAATTGACTGTGTCAACTCAGTTGTTGATTTATTGTAACTGAGTACTTTTTTTTTTTTTTCTCGGCGCAACAATGGCCAGACCGTAATCTCCAGTTAGATATACTTTCACATAGTATAGTATTGCCAGATATCCAACATAAAAAGTCCACTTAGCCATTTCATACTAATTAATCACCACGTGACCACGCGTTTCCCAGCGTCGCGTCGATCAACCTTAACTCACTCCCCGCCGTTTTCCAGCATCAAAACCAAGACAACGAACCCCATCACCTCGACACCGTCAAATCTTGAAATCTCAGACAGTCAAGAACCTTCCAATATTCAAAAAATGTCCCTTCAGACTCCCCGCATCCTCCCCTCCCACCTCCACGCCTTCCACCCCTCCAGCACTAGCTCGAACACCGTCCGTGTACTCGGCACCGTCACCGCGCTCCACGGGAACACCGGCACAATCACCTGCGGCAACAATGGCGATGTCACTCTGATCTTGAAGTCCGATGCGCGTCTGCAAGTCGGGAAGTTGGTTGAGGTTGTTGGGAAGGTTGCTGATCTAGAGGGTGGACAGGTATGTTTGGTTTTGACATTTATCCCGGAGGGAGATGGAATGGAATGGACTTGACTTGCTATCCTGGAATCGGGCTTTGGTAACTATGTAGAGTGGGTGTTCTAATGCTTTGCTTCTTTTAGGGATACGGAATTCGTGTACTGGGCTCAACGGAGTGGGGTGACCCAGCCGATTGCGGTATGTGTTGAATGCTTTTCCCTCGAGGTAAACTGGACTAGAGACTGACTTGTGTGTGTTTGTGTGTCTTGTGATTATATAGACTATAAGATCTATGAGAATGTTGTCAATGCGACGCATAAGGTCAAGACTATCTTCTACGATTGATGGGTCATGAGTTGAGGGATTTGAATATACGGTCGTTTTTCTGAGGGATATGTCCCCAGGTCTGATATGAGCCTGGTTGTTGTGACATTGTTGGCGTCCTCTACTAAAGCCTATGGGACATATGTCTATTTGACCGATGTCAATGCTGTCACTGTGATTCTCCCTTTGTGATTCCCCGGCTTTTGCGTTTTACATATGAGGTTATGATCGAAGCTTCTTCCAAATCAAGAATTTACATTGAGGTAAACTTCTCAAATACTGAGAGAGTAGTAGATATGGATGCTGGACAGAGAATAGGATCATTTGAGTGACTAGCTCTACAATCAAAGAAGATGCGATTAAACATCCCCCATGTATTCCGTGGGACTCGACAAGTGAACTATGGTGCCCAAATGCTTAGCGACTTGTTGGAGAACACTCACGAGAAAGACTCGTTTGATTTGGGTGCGGATCTGCATGGGCCTCAACGATGTTGATGTCTCATGCATAGGCACCCGGGTTGCTACGGTACCCTCTCCCTATGCTGTCTCATGGGGGCTACGGTGAGATGGTGGTCGGGAGGGAGAGGACTGGAGAAAGAAGAGAGGAAGAAGAGAAGAGGGGGAAAGGTGGGAGGGGTCCTTTTATATGTTCACACCCCAGGTACCTTCCTAAAATGGATGGCCCTTCGCTCTTGTCTTTTATTTTTACTTCTTCGACAGGACAATTAGTTAAGGCAAGTGCTTAGGTACTTTCGTTGGCAAATCAGGACATAGTTAATGTGATTTTTTGATTTGATTTAGTATTTCGTGCTATCATAAAAGCTACATAGGAAGGGTATTATCCCAGACAAGGATCACCGATTCCACTTCAGGGGAATACAGCGAATGCAGTTTCGGAGTTCTTTCAAGATACTCCAGGTCATCAGTTTGAAAAAATAAGAAAAGACCACAAATCTCAAGGTGGAAGTCAGAATCCGTTGGCTGTATGCAACAAGATCAACCCATAAACCGAACGCCGTCGCTAAAAGAACAGCAAAGGATGTATAAAAAAAAATTTAAAAAAAAGCAAAGATGATTGAGTTGACATGTAGCAAGCACATCCATGGAGTCGCTCCCAGTCTTAGAGAAAAGAGATAGCCTACTGGCGTTCAGGTTCTTCACAAGCGGGCTGGCTCTTGGGTGCGTCGGTGGTGAGCGCATCCGAACTGAAGAACCCGGAGTCGGGAATGACAACATCATTGAAGTTGAAAGGGAGGAGGTCGGGGTGGAAGTTGTCTTTCTCATTGGGGTTGTCGGAGAAAAGAGCGTCGAGCAGCTCGTTGGCAGGAGTTTCGCAAGATCCAGTAGGGGAGACATAGTCCGCTGGAAGCCACTCGGCCCAGTTTTCACCAGTGAACTTGTTGTTCTCCATTTCGAAGAAAGCATCGGCCTTGTCGGCGTCATCGAAGATGCCGAGCATCATCCCATCAAGGGACTCGAAGGATTCCGGAAGACTGTCGTTGGCAGGCTGTGGTGCCAAAGACTGCTGCTTAGCCGGTGACTTCTGTTGCCGTGGCGATGACTGAGGACTTCCGTGAATTGATTGGATACGCTGCAGGCGCTCTGCGGATAGTCGAGCTGGAGACATAACCGAGCCTAGATCCTTGCGTTTGTTGATGATAGGGGAGTTTGCGGGGAAAGAGAGACGCTTGTCAATCGCATTGATACGCGGGTTGCGTCGGCGAGGAGTAGGGCTTGCTGAATCAAATCCAATTGAGGGACTTTCGAACAGATCATCGAGGTCATCTCGCGGAGTGGGTACAAGGTTCTCCTTCTGTTGACTCGGCTTGTCATCTTTTGTGGAGGCGATGCGAGGACTGCGACGCGGGGAGCAATTGTTCACTGCAGAAGAATCAAGCTCCTTTAGAGGCCCGCCATTCTGGGGATTCTGGAAAAGTGACCTTCTCAAAGGCCTGGGAGTGAGACTATTGGCATCTGTCTTTTGAGCAGAGCGGGCGTGCATACGGCTCACTGGGCTAGACTTAGTAGCGCGCGCCAGGACCTCTCTGGCGTCCTCCTTGGACCATCGGCGTCCTGGGGTGTCAAAGGTCCCTTCCAACTCGGCACTGGTGGCTCGATGAGACTCGTTGGGAGAATATTCTGCTTCGCCGTCATGATAATCGTCATCGTCGTTGTCCATTTGGGGAGTCTCCCCATCGGGATGGACAGAAGACGTTTCAGTGGGTGCTGGAGAGGAAGCCGAAGGTTTCTTTGGTGCGGCCTTGCTCCGAGTTCTGGCAGCAGGGCAGGACTTGGCCTGACCCTCTCGGCTCTTCAGAGGACGCTTTTTGTTGCTTTTCTTGGCCGGTTTCGCTGCTCCCGGCTTGGTCCATTTGTCTTCTGGGCGCATTTGTTTAAATTTGTGGAGCCACAGACCGCATGGATTGCAGAAGGTCATCTGATCCCAATCATTATCGTCCTGCTCGAGAGCCTTTTTGTAGATCTTGAAACATTCCACTTCACCCTTATCGTTTCGGTCCACGGCCTCCCAATAGAGCATGGGAGAAGACTTCATCATCTCTTCTGCAAGGCTCTCGCTACCCTTGACTGTTTTCACCCACGCTCGCCGCCAGCTGGCGGTTTCGATGGAGCCGCAATTCTCACAATATGGCGGAATTAGCCCGTTGAGAATAGCATTGTCCAAGCGTGCCTTTATGTTCTTCGGCACCGGTTTGGATCCTTGTTTTGTCGATGGCTTTGACTTCGAAGATTGCTTCGACTGCTTGGAATTGGAACTAGCTGTCTCACAGGGCATGAAAGTGACATCCACAGGCACAGAAGAGCGAGGAGGAATAATGGGGTCACTAGCAGGGATTGCGCGGAACATTTGGGGGACTTCATTGTGGTAGATATGTGGCGCCGGGGCGAGGGGTTTGGGGGCCAATCGTTGTGTGCCAGAGCTCGAAGAAGGTCTCGATGTCGTAGCTGTGGGCGGACGGGATGTGGGACGGGACTGAGCGGGGCGAGAAGGGGGAGCATGAGATACCGGACCCGGTGGCTGTTTTGAAACCTGCTCCGTTGGATTATCATCGACGGGAAGAGGATCATTGTTGGTTCCCTGCGCAGCACTGACAATGCTGGCTGGAGAGTTTGCCTGCACGGTAGTGCGGACAGAGCACTTGTCTCGGGTTATTCCACGAGACACTTCCATTCCGGAGTCGTCTAAGGGGATAACGGTTTCATCATCCATGAGTTCGTCCGGTCCAGCACTCATGAAGCCGGAATCATTGTCCAGAGACATGGTAGGCAAGACGGGGCTTGATCTACTTGGTAACCGGCTATCGAAAACCGGAGGTGACGATGGGATGTTGAAAGATGGCTCGAAGAGACCTTGGTAGCGAGTGTCCTCGGGAGAGGGACCGGCGGCGTCTGTGGTAGGAATGTCATCGCTCATACAGTATGGAGAATTGTACTGAGCAGGACACGAGGCAATGCTCATGCTCGACGACTCCCGCAACAAGCTACCCGTGGGTCGGCTTCGACGGGCAAAATCGGATGGTCGAGATATGGGGGTGGGTGGGCGGACAGGTTCTTCGTGGGAATGCTCAACCGCGAGAGCAGGGTTCACGGGGGTTGGGCGGTGGATTCGTACAGAGGCCGCCGTGCTGGCTGCAACTCGAAGCGAGCTTGGTTGTCTTTCGATGTTCATACCTGACTTTCCGGGCCAGTTTGCTTGATACACCTTGGCTCTCTTCCGGGCCGGGGCCTCCGTTGATTCCTCGTCACCACTGCCATATCCTGACTGAATGGACCCTCTTCGAAGGTTGTTCTGTGAGATGTGTGAAAGCTGGGTTTGGTTGTCGCAGTCCCGCATAGAGGCACTTGAGGATGGGCGAATCATATCACTATGGGGAATGCTCTGTTTGGTGTAGGATTGATGATGAGCTGGTGTTCGACATCCACCAGGTGTTGACACTCGACTGCCGGCGTATGAGTGTGAAGGCGATACCGAGCGGACCGATCCATTGTTGTGGAATGTAGGAAACTCTCGTGGCGTTGAGCCTTCGCTTAAGAGCTGGTGGAATCTCTCAATACCAGATTGATGCATCGGAGATCCGACGTTGTCGTTGTGGCTCTGGCTTCTTGAGGATTCCAGGAGGGCGGGGCTTTGGCGAACAAAACTTGTCCATGATTGGGTGTCAAAGTCGTCTGAATTGCCATTTGTCAACTTCTGATGCTGCTGCATGCTAGTGAAGTACTTACTCTGAGAGACGGTCGGGACAGGCACCAGCCGTAGTTTGACCTCCAACGTCTCTTGGGCACCTTTGGAGAAGAGACCACTGAGAGGGCTCTTGCAAACCCGCCCAGTAATCATAGTCTTCGACTGGCTGTTGGGTGTCTCGGGTGTCGATGAGAAGGTGGCCAGCACCCCAGAAAGCATGCCTTGTCCGACAAGAGGGGTTTCGAATTCGGAATAGTCATAGGCATAAACGGTATAATCCTTCCCTAATTGACCGACAAGCTCCGGGCTGAACAAGGAACTGGGTAAGTATGCTGTTTTGGTCATCCGAGGGTAAGGGAGTCAAACCTAGCGGAGACGATTGCCTGGATGCATGTTTTCAACTCGATCACTCCAACGGGAGTGTTCTCGTCTAGAAAAGCCGTTTGGATGTCAAGCACGTGTGGCCACCGAGCAAGGCAATTGGTCTTATTTTCGTTGTCGAATGTGTAAAGAACTTTCACTGTAGGATAACATGTTTAGTTGCCACTCAATCAACCTCATTATTAGAAGGGTAGTGGAAAACATACGCCTCATAGGGCGGACATCAATACCGTCCTGAGATTCCATCTCATCAGACTTTGTTGCCCACCATGCAAGACGGTGGATCAAATTCTGGGGTTGAAATGGAGGATAGCGAGCAAAAGGTATTCAAGTATGGGGAAAGGTATGAGGGTCGAGGTCCAAAAAAGTTGACAGGTAGAAAGAGGGGAGAGAGAGCGGAGCGAAATTATAAGAAAGCCCTTTCACTCAGGACCGGGGATGCACCAGAACGTATTAGCGAGCCAACCGATCAGCAGTGCATTATCTAGGATCTCGTCGACCGGGAGAATAGACAGTTATGCAGGAGTAGGTACGGAGTAGTGGGGGGTCTTTTTTTTTTCTCTGCAGGCCTGGAATGTTAGCAATTGATTTGCATATCCTCGCAGAGGGGAAGCATAGGGACGGGAAAAGGGAAAAAACCAATTCGTACCAATTAAACAGAAAAGAGCAACAATAGTCTCTCCACTAGCTCTGCATGAGCTGACAGAAGTGGAAGAGAGAAAAGTGAGGAAGGGATGAGGTTAAGAAGCCTTGCATGCGCGGGTCCAAGCTATCTCGAAAGATCACCAAACAAGCGTGACGCGACGTGACGGCAACCAATCGCGACCTCGGGAAATGGCTGGGAGTTGGTGCCTGAAACTTAAGGTGTTGATATTTTCCTCAGGTGTTTGAAATGATTTCCACGTGACTTGAACTCTCCTCCACCACCTTTGGAACTGTCACATCAACGGAATCTCTCGACTTCCACGACCTTTTTATGCCCA